GCGCCTTCCATTGTTAGCTTTTGACTTCTCTCTCCAAACGGAGGGGGAGTCTCAGGGAGTGAGGGTTTTCGGTAAACCCGCAAGATTTTGAAATAATTTACAGGAAGATTTTTATCACCGGTCCCCCAATATATGGACATTATCACAACTTGGTCCTCTACCTATCTATTTGGCAGTATCGTTCCCGGCCTTTTTGCTTGTGAAAGCATTTGGTCCTCGATGCTTATTTTGTCCATGTTTGGTACAACTAAAAAGTTGGATTAAAATCAAAATCAAAAATAAATTTTAATCACACATTTAATCAAATTTTATAAAAAATATTAAAAATTAAATTTATATCTAAGTCAAACAAGAGCTTTGTGTCATTTTGACCGTTAAGTGTACATGTGACTTCTACTTTCTCGATTTTTAAAGGGTAAAATAGTAGGTCATATTACTCAATTATAAGCCCCAGTTGGTTTAGATTAAAATTTAAGTTAAAATTGACTATTGATTTTAATTACACATTTTATGAGATTTACAATTTTTATCAACATTTCAATCATGTATTTTATCAAATTTATCAGGGACCCGTTTAACATGACTTCTGAAAAGTTAAAAAGAGTTTTTGAGACTCAAAAGTTGCTTTTGAACTTATTTGACTATACATGGCCTTTATTTTTAAGGGTCATGCCTCAATTTATTTAATCTTTTGCACATTGTCACATATATGTCCTGATTTTTTTGGTCATATTTTTATCCTTAAACTTCAATTGATTAGCAGATTTTGTCATTAATGACTGTTTCTGTCCAAAAAAATTCTTTAGGATGACATAAAAAACTCATTTATTCCTCTATTTTTCAAATAAATAATAAATATAAAAACTTCAATAAAATATTTTTTCCTCAATTCAAATCACGCTAACAAAATATTTTGACAATAAACATAAATCAAGAAAAAAGTATGAAATTGAAGATTAAAGATAAGAATGCGATAAAAAAAATAAATAAATTAATGTCATAAATGTTAGATGGAGATGTTCGTTGCAAAAAAAATATGGTGTACTGTATACCTTTTAAAAATTGTTGTGTGGATATAATCGCCCTCATTTTTTTTTTAAATTTAAAAGGGAATACATTAAAAAGATAAAAACAAACAAAAGAAAAATAATAATTTCTATTTTATGTGGTTAAAAAATAAGGAAAAACTTTGAGCTCGTGCATAATATTATTTTGTTGAAGAATATGTAGTTGGAATGAAGAAAGAGAAAAATATATTTTGAAAATAATTGTAATTAATTGTGTTTGATTGGTATAATTTTTCATGGAAAATGTCGAAAGTTTGG